TACCAAGTAGTGTTGTTGCAAGACCATGTTAAGCAAAAATGTTTCACGCGCTCTTCCTATTCAAGCAAGCCTTCATGCCTGTGGGCAAAGTCAGCACATCAGAAGCTGCCATGTCGGTGGTAGCCACGGATGCAATATCCGTAGGCCGCCATGTTCGCTTGATCAACTTGCAGCGAGTGGATTTCAACGGTTCTTTGGCCGTCGTGGTATCTGTGGGAGGTGAACATGTAGGTGTGGAGCTGGAGAATGATCATCGGATTTCTGTACGACCACAGAACCTAGAGACTTTAAGCGATGATGTGGAAGCTAGCTGTGAGTTAGCAGTTGGGAAGTGTGTGATGATCAGAGGGCTGCAGAGCCGACCGGATTTGAACAACCGCCACGGCATCATTGTGACGCCCAAGACATCGAATGGACGTTGGGGAGTGGAATTTGGAAGCCAGAGATTGGCAATTTCGGAAGGTAACCTCTTGCAACTTCCATCTCTGTTGAAGCTCGCTACTCCTGCTGCTCGTGCCAGCCTACACAGACAGGATCTACTGCTCCTACACTTTGCAGGCAGGTCATGTCATGCTTCATCCATTGCGATGGCTCAGGATCGCAAGACCTTGCACGCAGCATGCTGCCTTCGACAAAGGCTGTTGTTTACATGGGGAGTTTTACCATTCGATTCCAAGACCTGTGTTAATTTGGCCTTGGCTCCCACGCTGGTCTTCGGTATGCTGGCTGCAGGTCTGGAGCTGGGCACTTCCGTTTTGAAAGTGCACTGCATCGGTGCCACTCCTGACTTCGAGGGCTGTGCTGATTGGTCGGGGCTTGAAGAGCTGTTGGCGGCAGCAGGTTTTGTCCTTCCAACGACCGTGGAGATCATTTATTTTGGCAACCAACAAAGCTTTGCCCTACCCCCAGGAGTACGTACGTGGTCAATGATGCAAAAGTCAACCTCATCAGCCCTGCTGAAAATTCGAATCCGGCAGTGTGATGAGCTGTACCATGCCAAGGACAGGGAAATGCCAGATGTGGCATTGCTTTGCCACCCGGGGTTTGACAATTTCAAAGAGCTCTGGCACCCGACCATGGGTGTCCTGTTCCGTCTCAGTGTCCCATTGATTGTGGCTGGACACACGAATTTCCTAGTGCCATCTGGCGATGCAGTCATGCACCAAGATCTAGGCCTGAAAGCGTTTGGTGCCAAGCTCATTCAGCCACAGATGTGGAACCCATTTTGCCAAGCCTATGAGGACAAATTCAAGGGGTCTTTGTTGGCCCCGCCCGGGCAAGAGCACAATCATTGCAACCTGGGACTGCTTTCTATCAGCCGTGGTGGGGACTTGAGACCGTTTGAGGAGGTGGAAGCTTTCTTCGAAATTTTGGATTATTTGTGCATGACTGTGTCAGGATTTCAGCCTTTTGAAGCTTTGGGGCCCCAACTTCGGGACACTTGTCTGCTGCATAAGTGCCCACATATTTCACACGTGGAGCGCAACGCTGCCCTTCAGTTGGTGCAAGACTTGACGCAGGGCACCTTGCCATGCTCCACTGCTGGAGAATTGCTGGTGCTGTTGAAAACGAGAGGTTTGTATCGACACTATGCCCGAGGCCGAGGTAATTGGTGAGGTATGGTTAAATTTTTGTGGCCCGGCTGCGACTTGTGGTTGGGAATCGGCGCAAGCCGGCCAGACCAGCTCTTGGCATAGCACAGTGTCTTGATGGGCTGCATGCTGCTGCAACGAGCACAGCGCCGCATCGTTGCTTCCACTTCAGACCCTTCAGATGTGCCAGAGACATGTCGCGGCCGTGGCCGTAATTCATTTTCCTGTGCAGATTTTGTACATTTGGACGATTTGGTCAGGCAATTGCCTGAAGCAATGAATGTGGAGAACTGACCTCTCTGCTCTGACTAATGCGCTAGGGTGTTTTTGCTGCCTGACATTTCCAGACACAGACCAGCCAACCTGCAGAAATCTCATTGGCTTTCAGCTATCAACTTCCTTTAGACCGGGTAAAAGTCAACCCATTGATGCCCTGTCCTCGTTGGTGTGGAACTTCATGGCCCGTTTTCGAGTGGATCATCATTGCAAATCTGTGGTCAAGGGTTTAGGGTTTGGGGTTTAGGGCTTCTGCACCAAAACCTGAGCTTCAGGGGGCACTTCGGCAGCGACCAGAGGCTCATCCCTATTTCTCGTGTGTCTCTTAAGTCTTAAGTAAGGGGCACACAAGTTGGGAAGCCAACCTTGCCGACAAACCATGATGGTTTCCGTAAATACGGGGACTGAAATATAGATCCCAGAATATGATGATCCTTCTCACAAGGTGCCCCTAATTCCTCGAAATCCTAGACCCTAAACCCTAAACGCTCAAATGTGTCTCAGAAATCATACCGACGCCTGATGGCAGTCTTCTCTGTCAAGCCGTTGCGCGAGGTTGTAGCACAGCTGCTTGCATTTTAGGTGGGTTTTGGGTTCAGGGCTAATCTTACAATGGGAGTTGTAACATTGTAAAAGTTAGACCCAACCCAAACCCTGAACCCGATCTCCATCATTCTGGGGCCCCTACTACGTAGGGTACCAAGAAGGAAGCATACCCTGAGAGCACAATACTCCATTAACGAACATGTCCTAAATGAGCGATAGTCTAAAACTTCTTAAAGGGGGTGGTGATATAGGGCATTGTATAGCGGAGTATTATAAGGGCTAATAAGGGGGATACTAGGAGTTTAGACCCTAGCTCAAATGATACGAAGATCTCTCATATGATTTGATGCCATCTTCCTTTCTTACGGGCATTGTGCCTTCTGGGTGCTCTTGACAAACTACACAGTTTAAGTATACCTTTTGTGGTTTCAGATTTAGGGGTTCATGGTTTAGATTTTGGGTTGTAGGGTTTAGGTGTTAAGGATTTAAGGTTAGGGGTTAGGGTTTAGGAAGCCCTCACAGAGGACAAGCTCTGGGGTGTTCAAATGCTCGTTATTTGGAACCCTGTGGGTGAGGGTACGGGAACCTTCATGGGAAGGGAAAAAGCTATAATGTGGGGGGTGGGGGGGGGGAGGGGTGGTGTTCTGAAACTAATGTTTTTTTTTGGGATTCCCTGAAAGAAGGATTTCAGTATATCGCGATCTACATACTGGAGCCAGTCCCCATATTAGGATAATTCTTGAGCTGAGGCCAATAAGAGGCCCAGTCATGTATTATGGGTTCGACTAGTACCCCCCTCTATACTACCCCCCCCCCTACGTTCCCCCTTAATTAACCTTAATTAATAAGCCTAGCTATCCCTAAACAACCTTAATCAAGGGGGGAACCTAGGTGGGGGTAGTATAGAGTGGGGTACTAGTTGAACCCATAAATGTACTTAATTCCTGAACCACAAGTCCTAAAATGAAGCGAGCAGTATGTTAAATGCGCATACTATAGTCTGTTATATCGACCAAGTGTATATCCTCATTCTGGGTATAGTGCCTTACAAACTTTTTGCTAGCTCAACCATCAGAAAACACCCCTCAGGTATTGCGACTACCACCCAAGAACCTCAACACTAAGCCCTAAACCCCCAACTCCGAACCCCTCAACCCTAAACTCCCTTTCCTAATACAATATCTCCACTTGGCCCCAAAAGTTTGTAAAACAATAGCCCAAAGCCACCAAAAACGGCCCAAAGGCTATTATTCTACATACTTTTGGGGTTCAGGGAAGCCCTAAACCCCAAAAACCCTAAACCCTAAAAACCCTAAAACTGGGCTTAGGTAAGCCCTACAATCAACCAAGGTTTGTGTCTTCGAAGCTGGAAAAGGTGTGGATACTGGCCGACCGCAGCGATTTCGAGAGCCCCTATGTGCATGAGTGCCACATCCCTGCCGCGGGAGACGCTTAGCAAGATGGTTTTCCTGTGTTTTGGGATCGTTTTAAGAGAACCTAGGGGACTATATAAGGGTCATATTAAGGCTATATTGGGGAAACCTTTTAGGGGTACGACCCTAGGGTACAACCCAGTAAGCCTTGATGATTCAGGATTTAGGGACTCAGGCTTCAGGGTTCGGGTTTAGGGGTTGGGGTTTCGGCATCATCTCAATGCTCAGAGTTATAAGTTTTTGCGCTTCTTTGTCAGGCTTGCCATCCAGAAAGATATAAAGCGCAAGGAGAGGCATGAAAGCTGCATACCAGCATAACCAAGAACTTGCAAGACATTCATTGCGAACGTCATTCTGAGAAATCTGATGACCGTGCCCCGAGCATTGTGGCTCGATCGAGGTGCTTGGGCTTCCATAAAGAGAGGGTAACATAGCAACTGCAGTCTGTCTGCCTGTGATAGATGTACTGGGGCAAAAAGGACCTCATGTTAGCATCCAAGCCCCTAAACCCTTAACCCTAAACCCTAAATCCCTAAACCAGGAAGTTTACAGGTGATTCAGCCAGGAGCCTGCTTCCGAGACAAGACTTCGGACCCTACCTCAAAGCTTTACTCTGACCGTCAGTCCTGTTGCGCATCTCTAAAGTCAAACGAAGAGGCCGAAATCAGTCCCGTCCTTTCTAGAACCTCTGCAGCGTGCTAATTAGGATTCTTTTCTAGGACCCTTCAGAAAGTTTAAGGCTTCGACACTGGCGTCTGAGGCAAAACGTCCAAAGCTGAAATCTGCTTTACAGCCGCTGCTGACTACATGTTTAGATGTTTTTTTCTGGGCATATGTGCCCCGCTGACCCACTTCTGAACATTCGAAAATTTCATGGCACAAAAACTGGATTTGCAGATTGTTATGATTTCAGTCTTGGCGATGATTCGTCGTATGTCTCTCCGTGTCAGTACTCATCAGTGAATGAATGCAATTGTGGGACGACGCCTGAACCCTAAATCTAAACCCCCAATACCCCGAGTAACCTTATGCCTAGAAAGAAAGTAAAGATACCAAAGCATTCGGTATACAGCTCTTTCTTCATAGGTGCAATGGTTACTTCTGGTGGATACTTAGCCCCAAGCCGTCATGACCCTAAACCCTGAACCCTCAGGATCCAGACCGGCCCTTAGGGCTCAGAGTGCTCTTCGCGCGCGCGGCGACGATTGCCGCTGCCGTCGTTGGTACTTCAACGTTGCGAGTTGTCTGCGAAGAAGAACCTTGAATTTGAATCCTCTTTCCCCCCATGAAAACCCCAACCTCCCCCTGACCATATAAGGGGCAACATTGAATATCAGGGGGATGGCAGTTTGCAATATTAGGGGAAGTGGATGAATCAAGCGACTCAAGCGCTCCAGGGAGCTTCAAAATGTATGTGCTTTATACTATGGAGCATGTACAGTTTTGGGGTTCGGTTACGGCTTTGGATTGGGGCGTTCTGGGCTCCATGTATAAGGGTGCAAGCGTACTGGAGGTTGACGGGTTTACAGGTGCTCGGTTTTACCAGGTGGGTTTGGGAGGTTTGCGCATTCGTGCGTTGCAGTCTTTCTAGATTTTGAGCTTACAGGGTTGGGTTCTGCGCAGGGCACTGGGCCTATCAAAGATTGGCAGAAGTCCTGCCAGCTGTGATTGCCTAAGAGGGAACTCCAGTAAACAGAGAAAGGGTTCACCAGCATTTCGTAAAGACTTGAGAGCACGCAAGCTTGCTTCTCAAATTTGATTTCTCATGCGCTCTGAATCCATGTAACCTTTGTTGAAGAGGTCTACCGTTTTTTTGCATCTGGTTGTCTTGTCGATTGTTCAAAGCGATAGGTCATAAAGGCCTAATGCGAGCTGATGATCATAAACGCAGCTCCCACTAAAAACTTCATGGGACCAGGGCTCTGTGGTATGGTCCCTATAATCCTTTGGGGTTTAGGGATTAGGGTTAAGGGTTTAGGGTGACAAAACTAGCTGAGGAGGGCACAGTGTCGTCACTGCTTGGACTGTTCGCAGAACATCCCGCCTTGACAGAGAATCTTGCTCAGTTTGGGCCATTGCAGATCACCCGAGAGGAGAACTCGGTCTCTGGTCCTTCTGGCAGAGAGTTTTAATGCGTGGGGTTTAGTGCCTTTACGTTGTGAAAGTGTTTTGACGCAATCTTCGCAGGATTTTCAGCCTTTTCTGCACCTGAAGGCTTTAAACGCCAAGACGGCTTGCCGTTTTAAGCCAGAAGGTGTGTCCCAGTCACCCCGCTGTTCCAGCAAGAGCCTGACATTACAACATGGATTTTTCTCAGAGCAAGAGGCCCTTAGGGTTTAGGGTTGATAGGGGATACGTACTCTAAAGCTTCTACAGGGGTAGTCTTGAGAAACTCCCACATGTTCGTCTCTGCAGCCTGCAGCAGATCAGGTTTCCCCAGGCGGGTTCTGTCACCTTCCGTTTAGGAGCCGCAGTGTTCCAAAGCCGATCTCCCATCACATTGCGTCCGAGCAACAGGTGTTTGTTGCTGGGTTGCTGTTAAGGAACTTAAGTTAAGTTACTATAATAACGAAATCCCACTATTACTATATTCCCATGTCAGGAACCTAAACTCATTTACCATGATTGGAAACCCTATTACTTACCATATACCCATATTATGGTTAACTTGGTTCATGAAGTTCCTTCCCTAAGGGTCCAAGGACCCAAATAATAGGGCTTTAGGGCCCAAATATTATACTATTCATGGTATTTGGGCCCTAAAACCCCTATTATTTGGGTCCTTGGACCCTTAAACTCTAAACCCGAAACCCTAAACCCTAAACCGCGGCCTCAGGGCCTTAACAGCAATCCAGGTTGGGGTAGACTACGGCCGCTCAGATATCAAGGTGGAAGTTGGCCGAAAATGGGAAGGGGAGGATTTCTTTGGAGGGGACCTAGGGCTTGAGGTTTAGGGTTTAGGGCTTAGGGTTTAGGGCTTAGGGTTTAGGGTTTAGGGTTTAGGGCTTAGGGCTTAGGGTTTAGGGTAGGGATCCAGGTGTACAAATAATGCCTAGGTTGGTTTAGGGTTTAGGGATCCAAGTATACAAATCATAAGCCAAATTGGTTTAGGGTGTAGGCTCTAGGGATCCAAGTATACATTTTTTTACCTACATTGGGCCCCAGAGTCTGTGAAAGATTACCTGCATTGGGCTATTTGGATCCCTAGGGTAACCATTCTACCGTAGGTTGCTGACGCTTTTCTAGACAATCAGGTGGCGATCCTGGACATTTCAGGAAAGCTACTCTCCAAGTATGTCACACGATGGTGGACGAAAGCTGAGTCTGGAGAAATTACCTATGTTGATCCAGCAATACTGAAATGTCACAAGATGCACATCCTATGTCTGGCGGAGGCTGCCATGGCAGCCTTGGCAGAGGTCCCCGATCCTGAAACAAAGTCCGTTTGCGGACTGGGCCTCAGTGCTGCGGGATGTGTCAAGAATGGCCAGCTGGACTCTTCAGTATTTTTGTGAAGGTTTGAATAAAAGGGTCCATGAAACTGAGGGTTCATACAAGGGCATGCAGGGTAGAAGCCGTATAGAAATTACCAGTAATGGAGCCCAAAGGCAAAGAAAAGGGAACATGAAATGGAAACTGGATTGCGTAGATCCTCATAGAGATAATTGCCAACACTCTAGACTGCCTGTATAGCTTCGGTAGAGACTACCTCACCTGGACCTCACAGTCGTATCCGTGATTACTTAGGCAGCTGTAGTACACAGGATCGGCCTTCCATGGTCTTGGTTCCCCTAGACCTTAATCAAACCCTAAGCTCTAAACTCGAAACCCTAGACCCTAAACCCTAAATTGTAAGCCCTGAGCCCTAAAGTGTTGAAGAGACACGTCGAACGCAATATCTTAAATCAGGACTTCACAAAAGACTTCAGGTAAGCTGTGCGGCATCCCTCCTGCAATGGATGGAGTGGACCATAGAGCCGCCCAGCAGGACGCAAGGGCGTCTCAAGAAAAGCAGGTGACCTTGGCTTCCATACCCTAAGGGTCCAAGGACCCAGATCCATAATGTTTTCGGGCCCATATACTACAATATTTATCTGGATTTATGGCATTTGGGCTCGAAAGTCCTATTATTTTGGTCCTGGAACCTTGAACATAGGAAGACGTGGGGCAGCTTTATTCTCAGAACACATGCCAAACTAGCCAACCTGTTCCGCGACGGAGTTCGCAGCCTGTCCCGATGCTTCAGTCTAATGCATGCTGTGCTTGGCACGAAACCATGTGAGCAAGGAAATCCAAACGCTACCAAGCACAAGGCAATTCCCCAAAGGGTCCATGTAGCTATATGGGGTATACCAGGGCCTTAAAGTAGGTATATGGGAACCCCTTTGGGCCCTAAGTATACACCATATACCTACATGGACCCTTTGGGTCCAAGCCATTCTAGCGTGAAACGCAGCCCCGAATCATGCGGGGTTCCTGTATAGGATGCAGGCATATGAGCTGTAGTCTAAACTCCTTAAAGGGGGTTATATAGGGGATTATATAGGGGAGTATTATAGAGGTTATTAAGGGGGATACTAGGAGTTTAGACTATAGCTCATATATGAGTGGCTATCAAAATTATGGTCCCTTTTTAAGTACCCTGAATATTAGGTGCCGTATTATCATAAGGATCCAAAAAAGGACCATAATTTTGACAACCACCCATGGGTTTGCAAAAAGTGGAGACTGCTCCTCGCAGGTCCCAGTGAAAAGGATTATCTTATGTTGGGATCTATACTTACTGATTGCTAATTCTACTATGGAATAAGGGAATATGATCCCTACATGCTCCCCATACAATATATTCTCTTATTGCCCGGCAAGATTGGAGCCCCATGCTTAAGGACACACCCATATCAGTGTTCCACATATTGTTGGGAGTGGGAAGCTGGACCTTCCACGAAGCCCCAAATGTCAGCATCTAAGCACTGAAATCATGATTTAGATTTGGGGTTTCGGATTAGGGTTAGGGTTCTTCAGGGTTTAGGGTTCGGGTTGTTTAGGGTTTAGGGTTAGGGTTGCTTAGGGTTTCATGTTCTAACCTGACCCGCTTGTGTCCAGCTAGCCAAGCGGTTGACCGCATGTCAGAAGACAGGAGACGTAAAACCAAAGCTCCAAGCCCCAAACGTGCAAGTAAAGCTGTGCATAAGCCTTAAACCGTAAACTAAAAACCTATTCCACAAAACCGTAAATCCAAAAGCCCCTAAACTTATACCCTAAACTAAAAGCCACGCCAGCAGGACCTGGAATCCTTGGAGCACGTGGTTTTGGCCAGTATCCGCGAGCAACATGGCTTGGTCTCATTGGGCCTCAGGGACCTTACGAGTGAGTAGATTATGACTGTTTCGTGTTAAGGGTTTAGAGCCGGGGGGACTTAGTAGATTATTACTGTGTTGTTTAGGCTTAGGGGTTTAGGGTCACAGGGACTTAGTAGGTTAGTAGCAGGAGTAGCTGGGGTTATGACCTATAGGGGCTATAAGTATACCCTAAACCCTAGACTGCCTCAGTAAGCACGGCCGACCCTTCAAGTATAGATTGAGGGTTCAGCGGTTTCGAGCGTTTCAAGTCTAATCGGGTTCTTGGTTACCCCCGACTAGAATAAGGGCCCTATGAAAATCATACGATAGTTATTCGGTCTTTATTAAGGCGCTGGGGGACCCAAAGCCCCCTTCTTAAAGTCAGATCTCTTGGCCTTGGGTTTCATCTAGGTTTCGTTTAGCAAGACCTACTTCTGGCCTAGATGTAGTTGAACATTATCACCACAAACCCTAAAACCCTTAGCTGTTTTTTGCTATTTGGGCTATCTGGATCTCCAGGGTTTGTGTCCAGGTTCCAGGAACATTGGCGCTAGGTTTAGGATTTAGGGCTCATGGTTTCGGGTTCAGGGCTTGGGGTTGGCGTTGCGGATGGAACATCTTTTGAAAGGCCAGCAGAGGTAACTACCTGCACCCCCAAAGGTATGGTCATGGCCCTAAACCCTCAACCCCATATAACC